CCGATCTGATCTAGTTCGCGAAACCAGGAAATATTACCACGCTATCATTTCCTGTGTCCGTTGAGGTTCTCGAGGTGATATCAAGCGTCGAGTTACGGAATTCTATAAACGTCGTGAGGAAATTTCTGTGACGTATGATGGTGTCTTGTGCTACAATGATCGCATGATCGTAAATCCGACATTACGTACTGCTGTTCTCAATGACTTACATTCCGGTCATCTCGGCATTGAAAAGATGAAATCTCTTGCTCGTCTCACATGCTGGTGGTCTGAATTGAATCATGAGCTGAATCGTGTTGCTAAATCCTGTGCTGAATGTGTGCACTAAACTCACAGACAACCTTCGAAATGAACTCCGTGGCTAGTATCTTCGGAGTCATGACAAAAAATACATGTGGATTACTGTGGTCTATTCTTCAACAAGTATTACGCATTAGTGATCGTCGATTCTTATTCCCGTTGGCCGTAAGTTTACTTTACTACATAACCCAATTCAGAATCTACTATTCGAGAACTCAGGAAAATGTTCAGTATAGGAGGTGTCCCGCGTGCTGTCGTGACTGACAATGGAAGTCATTTTACTGCCAAGAAAGTTACCGATTGGTTGATCTCCGTGAGTTTTCGGCATGTTCTCATTCAACCCGACATCCGCAATTCAATGACGCAGCCGAAAACTTTGTGCGCTTGCTGAAGAGTGCCGTAGCTTCCTTGAATCCCAGCACATTTGATGAACTGGAAAGAGGTGTTGATAACTTTCAGATGCAATACCGTAACGCAGTACGTTCAGCTACTGGACACAATCCAGCAAAGCTATTTAAGAGTCTATTACTTCGAACAAATCGCCTACACTTGTAGTCTGCGGAAGTCGTGTATCATCGTGGTAACGATTTATGACCCTCCAAGGACATTGTACTAGACAGTATGGGACAAAGAGTATGCCACATGTTGGATCTAGACGGTGGCACTGTACATCGTAGACGTGAAAACCAAGTAATTTGTAATTTTCCCAATCCTGATACTAGTTGTGAACTTACTAATCCTTTTATTTCTGAGTTTTTCCCAGATGAATTACATCCCAGTACAAATGTTGAAAACAGTACAGAAGAACCCAGAAGATCTGAACGATTACTCAACAAAGCCCGCCGGGATTACAGAGCACCGGAGCTTCATTCAAGCTGCGGTGGATGTGGTGATTGCTCATGAGCTGTGAACTCTTTTGTTTTATTGAACACGACATCCTTGTACATTCCGAATTTCCGCTTATTACAGTTACATTCCGTCGTTGAGTTCTGTGTTCTGATTTTGTTTCGAGTCCTAGTTCTGAATTCAACTATTACTGTGCGGAATCGGATACGTGTACGAATTATTAGTCAGAGTGTTAACCCCAACAGTAACCTGTTCCACATATGTATGACCCTGTGTGCAAAGAAGCTGGCCCGTACTTCCAACCTGGCGTGGTTCTGCTGAAGTTTGTAGCCATGATTTTTCGTGTTTTTGGAACGAGAAATCGTAAGCAAGTCATCTAGGCTGAGTCCCGACAGACCTCTTACAATTTTAAAAGTCTCTATCAGATCCCCCTCACTCTTTTACGCTCCAGCGAAAAGAGATCAAGATCTCTCAATCGCTGCTCATAGCTTTCCCCTTTTGCCCAGTCACCATTCGGGTATCTAGATGTTACATTCTTTCTAAACATGTTACATCTCTCTTGTAATACGGTACCCATGCCTGCACACAATATTCCATGTGTGGGCGAACAATCGATTTATGCAGGGGGACAAAAACCTTAAGCCGTCTGCATGTCACTGTGACACACAACCTGAACGCTGCCAGCTAACCTGATTTGCAGCTTTGGAACAGTGAGTTGGGGTTTAAAACCTTCGGTCATAAGAACCCCTAGATCCTTCACTTGCGGGGCCTGTTGCATGGGAACTCCATTCAAAGAGTATAACCCCGCTCTTGTTGCCAAGACCCGACACTTGTTTAGCTTCAAAGGTAGGTCTCACTTGACCGACCATCGATGAGTTACCTCTATGTCCCTTTGCAGGTTTAACCCTGTCATTTTGATACCATCAGCAAACATGAAACACGGATTTTGAAGATCCTGTGCCAGATTGCTGATAAAAATGGGAACAAAGGGCCCAGAACTGAGCCCTGGGGAACCTGACTTGTAACCATCTCATAGCTAGAAATGTAGTCACCCGCCGTCACCCGGAGGGTGCAATTACTCTGAAAGGCTACAATCCAGTCCCCGGCTATACCTGTTACGCCTAGGTCGCTGGTTAAGCGTCAGCTCAGGTTGCACAGGACTGGTAGTGGCCGCGGCCAATCAAACGTCCAGAATTCCTTCGTTGGTGTGCTCACGAGTGTGCATCCACCTCTTCACTTGATCAGTTCTTTCGTCTATCTGCAAACAGAAAGAAAAAGAAACCTCACTCTTCGCCGTGCCAGCGAGAGACTTCTATTCCGAATGTGTTCCATATTGCACACAAAAAAAGTTATGAACCTAACATTCGCATCTTTTTCAGTACTCATCGTTTGGGAAAAGTTCTAGCCACCTCTTATCCAAAGCCAGTTTGAAGGCGTGGGCACTAGGCATACAACGGGAAAAAAATAGAGGAGGAAAGAGAGGATGTGAGAGGAGGAGGTAACAGGAACAAGCAGGATAAAGTAGAGTTTTCTTTAGGTCTTGATGTCTTCAAGTGACTCTCGGGTTCGAGGCTCGCGCCCAATGGTCCCGAATCCTTGATGGTTCTCCTGTTGTCTGTTCGTGAAGGATGTAACTGAAAAATCAGAAAAAACTGGAGGAGCAATATATATCGTCTTGCCCGGAGACTAGCAATGCTAGTTATTCTGGCAACATTATTAATAAACGTAACAATTTGCTATAGCAAATGGGCAAAGGCATAAATATATAAAATGGTTGTTGTATTTCTTTGGTTTTGGAGAAGGGCTTATGAGGAGGCAATTAGACTTAGATAATTATCAAGTCGAGACTTGAAAGACGCTTTGCTTGTTGAAGGGACTATTTATTCTGGCAATGCGTTCCAGTGTGAAATCACCCAGAAATGGAGGCTAATTAGATCTAGGGGATGGTAAGCCCTAGGTGTGTATAGCAGGGTTTCAAAGACCCTTTTGAAACCGGAGTTCACAATCTCTAGTGGAAGTTTTGTTCCATTCCGAGATGACCCTGTACTTGAAGAAGTTAGAGCGAATGAAGATTCTGGGCCGGCGTTGGACAAGTTTTCGTGAATGTTTCCGTAAATTTTCCATGCTAGAGCGTGCGAAGAAACGGTCAACTTTCCCTGATGAGAAGAGGTTATACAGAAGAAAAAAATACCCTTTGACACGTCGTTCAGTTCAGTTCAGTTTGCACAGGACAGAAGTGATCCAGATCAATTGTGTGTCTAGATCGTTGTATTGACAGCTAATTACCTTGGCTTCTAACACTGCTCGCCAAACGTTCTTTCTGCTTTTTTTCCTGAAAGACAGAAGTTTTAGGTGCAGTATCTCATCCACCAGATATGTATAAATGAAATACATAGATATAGGAACGAACTCAACTTGTTCCTTCAGCGCCTCTCAAGTGGCCAACTCCGGAAATACCACGTCGCAGCACAGTTCCAAGGCCCTTTTGAAGGTTACAGCTGTTGNATCTACTCCACAAAAGCACCACCCGGTTTGTGAAGAACCTGGCCCTCAACTCCATCCTGGAGTGCTCTCGTTGCAGCTGAAGTCTGTGACCTCTAGTGATGCACTCTAGTGCAGGAACGAACAGGCTGCTTAGTTCTACGCTGGACAATCCGTTTACTATCTTCAAGGCTTCAATCAAGTCGCCCCTAGTCCTTCGGCGTTACAGCGAGAAAAGTTTCAGGTCCTGCAGACGCTACGAGTAGCTCTTTCCTACCTGTCCAGTGACTATTCTGATTGCCAATCTTTGTATCCTCTCTAGACACTCCATACATTTGCGAAAGTATGGGGTCCAAGCTTGTACGCAGTATTCCAGCAGTGGACGCACCATTACCTTGTACGGTGGAACCAACACTTCTGGCTTCCTGCAGGTGACTGTGGTCTGCAGTCCAGAAAGTACTCTTGCTTTATTAGCAGCCACCTGACATTGCCAGAAGTCTTTTGTGACAATCATTCCTAGGTCTTTGACCTTAGTCATACCTCTAAGCGCTGCACTCCCGGTTGAGTCTGCATTAGTAGTCAGTAGCTGACACTTGGCAAGATTCAGGGGTAAATCCTATCGAGCCGACCAGCTGCGGGCCGCATCTAAGTCCTGGGTTAAGTTCTCACCCGCTATCTTCACATCGTCCGCAAAGATGAAGCAGGAGTTGTGTAATTATAGCACGAGGTCGTTGATGAAAGGAAGGAAAAGTAGGGATCGAAGAACAGAGCCTTGTGGTACCCCGCTTGTAACCCTCTCTGACCTCGAGGTATAGCTTCCAATCCGCGCAGGAAAGCTACGGATTCTGATAAATTGCTTCAACCACTGACGTGCTCACTTACCTATTCCAAATGTCGGTGGTTTCTGATCAAGCAACGTAAGACTCACCGAGTCACAAGCCTTGCTTAGATTTCAGTCTAAGTAACGTACATCCACTGTCCTTCCCTGATCTAATCGACTTGTAGTCTCATCCAGAAGCACTAGATTGGTTAAGCATGATTTATTTTCTGGTAAACCCATGCTGTACATGAGATAGAAGTCTATGAGTTACCAGATGCGCACAGATTCGTCTTCTGATTATTCTTCCCAGGCATTTACACAGCACTGATGTTGGGCTGGTCGGCCTGTAGTTTTCCGCCTTTTGTCTGGACCCCGATGTGTATATTGCCACAAAGTTTGCCTTCCGCCAGTCCTCGGGCACTACCCCAGAGTTCAATGATGCAGTAAACAATTCAGGGACAGGTCCTAATATGACCTCAGCTAGCGGCTGGACGATAGCTGGGTGGATCTCATCAGGACTCGCCATCTTATACTTGCACAGGCTTCTGAACTCGGTCCGTATCTCGTCCTCCCTCACGATTAGCATCGGCATTGGTATCCACTAAAGGGTTCCGGACTCCATTGCCCTGGGACGGAAGATAAACACTTTTGAAATAGTTCACCAGCGTCTCCGCTCTGTCCTTAACCGTGCTAGCTATGTTACCGTTTGCCATCTCCAAGGATCCAATACTTTCATGTGTGGTTCCCTTGGATTGTACATATGCAAAGACCCAGGAACTATGCGTTCTGCAAAGTTTGTAGAAAGCACATCGTCTTCTACAAGACGTGGGAGCTCTTTCTATTCTGGGCAACCACCAAGAAGGTATGCTTCTGGATCTATG